TATCGATACAGTAGCCCACGATGTCGATACTGTATCATCACATTAAACGATACGATATATCGATATTCCGATATTTTTGCACACCCCTACTGCGCGCGGCCCTGTTTCACTTTGTTAACTGCTCGGAATGTCAACAACAACATGTCTGATTACGACACCGATGATGAAGAAACTGATTTTAGCAAAAAGCCAATGGGAGATCTTTTTGAACCCGAATATACGTCCGTTACAGGAAAACGGTGAAATTTGTGCGGAGATTCAGACAGATTTTTGTTGTTACAGCCTGGAACATCGCAAGTTCGCACCATTTTTAGATATATAGTTATGTCTTATACAAGCTTATATACATATCACACTAGCGCTGTCATTAGGTCTCTCGCGTCGCGGCGGTCACCGGTCTGAACAAGTAAACACTGCCGAACAACTGAAGAGAAAATAGTGCCAAGTGATTATGAGGTCTGACTTTTTAGAGGACGGAGGTTTTGTGGTGCAAATGTATCACTCTTTTTAAAGGGATAGTTCAGTTTTTTTACATGAATCTGTATGGCGGCATGTTTCACTTTGTTAACTGCTCGGAATATTCGCCTCTTCTCTCTCTGGCGAATTTTGGCATTGGTATATTCGGGTTCAAAAAGATATCCCATTGGCTCTGTGCTAAAATCAGTTTCTTCATCATCGGTGTCGTAGTTAAACATGTTGTTACTGACATTCCGAGCAGTTAACAAAGTGAACCAGGCGCGTCTGTCACTTGGCGGCAGGGCGCAGTGATACAAACGGAGAGAAAATAGTGCCAAGCAATAATGAGGTCTGACTTTTTAGAGGACGGAGGTTTTGTGGTGCAAATGTATCACTCTTTTTAACACATATTGTTTTGAGAAGAAAATCGCTTTATTATACAGTCCCCAGCCAACTTTCCTCAGCACCAAAACCGGCCAGGATGTCGGCTCACCGGACACTTTCGGAGGTAAAGTCAGTGTGGATTCCATACAGATTCATGTCAAAAAACCTGAACTATCCCTTTAAGAAAGGCAAGTAAAAGCCGAGCAGATGGCCCAATTGTTTGCAGTGTGACGTGGACATCTTGTTCATTCAGACAAATCCTCGGGGGACTTTTTCTTCTTCTTCTTCTCAAACACCTCGAGGAAACAGGGCTGTGGGGCTTTAAGGTCGTCACACACTAATATAGGATTTTTCGGTCTTTAAACATGCGACAAAAAGCGCACGCCACAGACACGAGGAGGATCTTATGAGAGTTTAAAAATCCTGTTTCCTGTCTGCGGTAAAACCACAGAGACTCTTAAGGTGTTCAAAAGATCAGACTCTGCACTTCTAGTTTAACCACAAGTCAACTGTGTCATTATTATTTGTGAAATGTGGTGCAAAACTTCAGATACATGACTTTAAACCAGGGGTGCTCACACTTTTTCATCATGTGATCTACTTACAAAATGACCAAGTCAGAATGATCTACCTAATACAAAGCCAAGCAAACTGCACTGAAACACTCTGTGCCCCTTTTTTGGACCCTCACCCACAGTTTGAGAACCTCTTCTTTAAGAGAACTTCCTCTGGCACTTTACACAAAACTGTGAAAAAAATGAAGGAAGATTTTTAAACCTGTTTTTTAAAGTTCCAAACTGGAGTTGCATTCTTTTCTGGTTTTGCAGTGATATTTACCAGCCTCTGCACGTTTACCAAACCAAACGCACATCGTGACAAACACAGATGCATTTGTGCACTTTTGTTAGACAAACTTCAGCCAAATGTGGCAGTAGGTCTGTTCTGTAGATCCGCTCTATGCTGTAGACCTGCTTTGTGCCAACACTGTAACACAAATTTAGACTAGTTTTTGCTTCACGTCTGGTCTTGTTCTTCTAATCAGCCGCACTGTGGGAGGGGCTTGTGTTCGCTGTACGCAGGAAGGAGCGAGAGCGTGAAAAGGCGAGGGGCGGCGTGCTGACGTGAGGCAGGTGGACAGGTAGGATGTTTAGGAAGTTTAACCTGCCCTGTGATGCACGCTGGTACACGAGGGCACACGCTGTCGCAGACGAGCCGTGCATAGGGAGCGTGTGTGTTTGTGATGCGCCGTAGAGTCTCCGCGGGTTTCAAATGAGCGCACAGGCTGCACTGAGACGCCCCACACGCTCCTGCACCCGCTACAAGTTTATTACCAACAGCAGCGGCAATAAACAAAAATGAAATATGATCGCACTTGTTGAGTGTCAGACCTCGAGTGAGAGACAAGACCGAGTCCAAACGCAAGTCCGAGACGAGACACGGCGATCTACCCACACGACATTGGCGATCGACTGGTAGATCACGATCGACGTATTGAGCACCCCTGTTTTAAAGCATAAAAGATTGGAGATAAAGTCTGCAGGAAGTCGAGTCACTAGCTCTACTATCACTACTCTCACCTTTTTACTTTCAAAGAACAACTCAAACAGGTTTAATGTTGCGCTTTTGAGGACTGGATGTCATTATTTGTGGAGGACAATTTCTATAGATAATGTGGATGAGCTGTTTACCGCTTTACGAGAGGAGAGTAATAAAGTCTTCTCATTATCTTCGCTATTTCCCCGAATTTGTATTTTGCGTGTCTGTGTCCGTCACTCCTCTGCCCCTGACGCTCTGGCTGTTACCGAGGTGTTGCTGATGTTTGGTAAAAGAGCTCAGAGACACACTGACACACACACACACACACACACACGAGGAGTGCAGTGGCTCATAAGTCTGGTCACACCTCCCCGAACTAGGTGTTATTATTGATGAAAAACTTAACTGGAAAGAATACATACAACATATACATACGAAAATGTCAAAAAGCATAGCAGCATTGGGTAAGGTCAAATATTTTCTGGACAAGAAAGCTCTACGTACACTTTATTGTTCCTTAGTTGCACCATATTTAACGTACTGTGCTGAGATCAGGGGCAATAATGATAAAACAATATTGGAACCACTATTCACGTTACAGAAAAGAGCACTACGGATAATTCATAACGTTGAGTTTTGTGATCACACCAACCAGCTATTACATCGTGAGCGAGCCTAGAGTGTTTCTTACTGCTGCGGCGTCACAGAAAACAGAGAGAAAGAAAGCGAGATAAACAAACACGGAGAAGGGTAAGCAACTTTTACACGGTCATTTTCATTTTCAAGTTCTTCAGACGGCGCAGTCGACACAGATAAAGTCATTTGTAACACTGCGACGCTGAACTGTCACTGTATCAGCAGAGTTTTTCACGAGTCAGAAATATCACCTCAACGCAAAACACTCTGTTAATGCAAATCATTCAGTGAAACAAGAGGAGCGACGCTTCGGCCGAACACGTGAGACGCAGCGTGTCAAGACTGTCGCTCCACACGCACATTACGCACAGTATGTAGAGCACCAAGAGCTTTCGGAGGCACCACCGCCGCGCGCTCCATAGTCCATCGCTCCTCGTCACAAACCCCCACCCCCCTCCCGCGGTCTCACTTTTCCTCAGTGAGAAGCCAGTGCCAGCGTCTTAATAATAATAGGGTCCGGTCAAGTGGTAACGGAGGGAAACAGTGGCAAATTTTTGACATTCAAATGTCTCTTATTCAGAAACTAGAGGAACTATTGAAATAAGTAAAGTATCAGAATGTAGGAAAAAGTTAACACTCCAACAGGGTCAAAGTTAAACCTGTGATATTCTTTCAAGTTGTTGACAAAAAATTTAAAAACTCATGTCGGTAACGGAGGGAATGAAATATGCAGCAATTTTTGGGCAATAAATCCAAACAGTGATAACTCTTGGTTCTCACTTACATATCCTTAACAAACTGGTTTGAATATTTGCTTCATATAGTTTTCTACCATATGGAACAAGATTAGGTTGAAAAACCTCTTACTTTTTGACTCATGAGATTTTTTATTAAGAAAGGTCATGGTAACGGAGGGAAAAGTAACGGAGGGAAAATTGTGCAACAAGTAGAAGGTGCAGGATTTTACATAATTTGTCGCTTTTTTCTTCCGAATACTTTAATATTACTTCAAAATGAAAGGAAACTATTTCTATAAAATATGTCAGTCCTTCCAAGCAAATTTTTATCATTTTAAATAATTTTTTTTTGAAAAATCATGTACCTTCATCAACAGTTCAAAGATGGAATAACACAAGGTCAGGTCTAAACCAGGACTAAACCAGGTCTAAACTAGGATTAAAGAAGGTCTAAAACCAGGACTAAACTAGGTCTAAACCAGGTCTAAACCAGGACTAAGTCCTCCTCTTCAGTCCTGGAGTCAGTCCTGGGTTAGTCCTGGTTTAGTCTTGGTTCAGTCCGTGGCGTAGGCAGCACAAAAGTTTGATATAATCGCTGGTTAAAGGGCAGGTGCGGTCCTGTCCTGCGCGGGTGCGGTGTTGTACTGGGGGTCTCCAAAAATGGACCCGTGTGGGACTCTGCGCTGTCGGCTCCATTACGGAATAAATGAATCTTCAGTTTGTTACATAAAGAAAGAGGAAAATAACAAAAGGAGAAGTTTTTAAGAAGAATGTAAAAAGGGTTGCACCTGTCCTGTCTGAGAAAAGTGTATAAAGTTTGTGCTGAGGGGTTTTACAGACTTAACACAGATAGAATAATTGTAAAATATAAAGTTGATACTTCGCGTGTTATTCACCTATCGTGTTATTATATTTATAACGTAACTATACCCGTGATAAACGAGGGACACTACTCTCACCTCACAACCTGTGCACATGGACTCACACTTGTCCCGACCGGGACGGAAAACGGAGAATTTCTTGTACAAGTCGTTGTTAAATGCGCATTTGTGCTTCGGTATGTTAAAGACTGAGTACGAGAGACGCTCAGTTTAATGAACGGTACTGAAAATCCGGACATTTGCATCACTTTATAAAAAACCCCGGACGCCCAGGACAGGACGCAAAATACGGACATGTCCGGGGAAAACGGACGTTTGGTCACCCTAACAAAGTATAAAACAGTGTATTTTGTAGAGTTTGCGCTCTCACCTCACGGCTCGGATGAGGAAGTAGAGGAGCCCGGTGAGCGTGATGCCGATGAGCACGTACAGGGCCCGCTGGATCATGAAGCCGTCCACGCTGAAAGGGTTCGCTGAAAAGGTTCCCTTCCGCTTCCCGCCGGCCTCCGTGGAGTTCACCGCGGGGCTGGTGATGTTGGTGCTGTGGTTCCCCGCCGGCTTCACGCTCGGCCCGGGCGCGGCGGGGACAGCGGCGGCGCCGGCGGCGGCGGCGGTGGTCACGGGCTTCGGATCGGTCCCGTCCGCCGCCAGCACCAACATCCAGCAGCACACGGACAGAACCAGCGTCGTGACAAGTCTGTAAAATGACATTTTTTTTTTTTTTTTTTGAAGCTCGAATAAAAGAGAATAAAGTTGTAAATCCGAGCGGGGTGTTAGATGAAGGCGGTGTGGTCCCGGGGTGGTCTTCTGGAGCCGGTTAGTCGCTGGTCCACGTCGCTTTACTCGGACCGGAGTTTAGTGCGTGTTTTGTTTTGTTGACATAAACCAAGTCCGAACGCGGAAGTGAACGCGACCACTTCCTGGACACGTTACGCTGATGACGTGGACACGTATAGAAACTTTTCTTTTCTTTTACTTTACTTTGTTTAATTTAATTTAATTTTACTTTATTTTACTTTATTTAATTTCATTTTACTTTATTTTTTATTTCATTTCATTTTACTTTATTTTACTTTATTTTATTTATTTCCTTTTCATTTTAATTTTATTTAATTTTACTTTTAATTTACTTTTCATTTAATTTAATTTAATTTTACTTTATTTAATTTAATTTTACTTTATTTCATTTCATTTTACTTCCATTACAAATACAAATACAAAATAAATAACAAAAATAATAAAATTTAATTATATATAAAATCTCTGAAATATACGAATGGACCTAAATGCACTTTTTCTTTTTAAATGTTGTTTTATTTTACGATTGTATTGAATTGTTACTGTATATGTGAGTATGTTGTGTTTATATTCTCTCATCCTGACATGTAAATGCTGACGACACACACAGCTATGTTTGTTGTGTCAAGTTTATGCTCCCAGTTGTGTGTAATAAAAAAAAAAAAAAAAAAACGCTCACCAACTAATAGCGTCAAAAAAAAAAAAAAAAAAAAAAATCTGCACTCGTCAGCATCACAGACTGCTCAAAGTGCTGTGGACTTTACACACTATTGATCTGACTGCTGGGGTCTTTGTTAAAGTGACTGTATTAAAAAAAAAAAAAAAAAAAAAACAACAAAAAAAAACAAAAAAAACAAAAAAAACCTGAAAAACTGAGACATCCCTCGTTTGGGTTTGGCTTAGTTGACAGTGTTGGGGAGTAACAGATTACATGTACCAGAGTTATGTAATCAGAGTACAAATTATGAGTAACTGTATTCAGTTACAGTTACTGTTTCAGTGAGTGGTAATTGGATTACAGTTACTTTGTTGAAATAAATGGATTACACAGAGGGATTTTCCTGTTTTTGCATTTTGGGCTAAACCAGGACTAAAACCAGGACTAAACCAGGACTAAAACCAAGACCAAACTAGGACTAAACCAGGACTAAACCAGGTCTAAACCAGGACTAAACCAGGTCTAAACCAGGACTAAACCAGGTCTATACCAGGATTAAAGAAGGTCTAAAACCAGCACTAAAACCAGGACTAAACTAGGACTAAACCAAAACCAAACTAGGACTAAACCAGGACTAAACCAGGTCTAAACCAGGACTAAACCAGGATTAAAGAAAGTCTAAAACCAGGACTAAACCAGGACTAAACCAAGACTAAACCAGGTCTAAACCAGGATTAAAGAAGGTCTAAAACCAGGACTAAACCAGGACTAAAACCAGGTCTAAACCAGGTCTAAACCAGGATTAAAGAAGGTCTAAAACCAGGACTAAACCAGGACTAAACTAGGACTAAACCAGGACTAAACTAGGACTAAACCAAGACCAAACTAGGACTAAACCAGGACTAAACCAGGTCTAAACCAGGTTAAAGAGGTAAAACCAGGACTAAACCAGGACTAAACCAGGACTAAACCAGGTCTAAACCAGGACTAAACCAGGACTAAACCAGTCTGTTGTTGTCTGTTCATGGAGACTTGGGCTCAACAGAATATTTGAAGAGAACAAACAAGAATTTTCAGGATGTGGTTGTTACATTCATGTCGATTTTAAAAAGCATCACAATATCAAGTAATCCAAAGTATTCAGATTACATTACTCACTTTAAGTAATTTAATGGATTATGTTACAAACTACATTCTGGGGTATGTAATCTGTAATCACCTTCTGTAGTCACCTTCCCAACACTGTTAGTTGGTAATAATAAAATTGTGAAACGAGTGCGTATTTAACGAAAAATGTTCTGCACTCGGCACTGATTCAGTATAATTTTTGTGTTTTGGTCATTTTTTAAGCAGCTTTTCTGTATTTTACCTAAACCAATGATTATTTATGCCGTTCTTTACTGTTGGTAGGGATCAAATTGGTCAAAAATAGTGACACCTGGGACATTTCTTGTATAAAACTGCAGGTACAGGGGACACAGGACTCAAAACTGGGCCTGTCCCGGGTAAATATGAACATCTAGTCACCCAGGTCTTTGTGTGCGACTGTGTCATTTGTTTACAAAACTTTAAAGGGATAGTTTAGGTTTTTTGACATGAATCTGTATGTCATCCCCGTCAGCAGTGTGGTGCATCCACACTGACTTTACCTCCGAAAGCGTCCGGTGAGTCGAGATCCTGGCCGGTTTTGGTGCTGAGGAAAGTAGTTCAGCAAGTTGGCTGGGGACAGAATAATAAAGCGTTTTTCTTCTCAAAACAATATGTGTTAAATAGAGTGATACATTTGTACCACAAAACGTCCGTCCTCTAAAAAGTCAGACCTCATAATCACTTGGCGCTATTTTCTCTCCGTACGTATCACTCCGCGCGGCCGCCAGGTGACAGCCGCCATGCTTGTTTCACTTTGTTAACTGCTCGGAATGTTCGCCTCTTCTCTCTCTCTGCCTAATTTCGTCGAACTGTCTCTGGCGAATTTCGACATTGGTATATTCGGGTTCAAAAAGATCTCCCATTGGTTCTGTACTAAAATCAGTTTCTTCATCATCGGTGTCGTAGTCAGAAATGTTGTTACTGACATTCCGAGCAGTTAACAAAGTGAAACAGGCGCGGCTGTCACCTGGCGTGCAGTGATACGTACGGAGAGAAAATAGTGCCAAGTGATTATGAGGTCTGACGTTTTAGAGGACGGAGGTTTTGTGGTACAAATGTATCACTCTATTTAACACATATTGTTTTGAGAAGAAAAACGCTTTATTATACTGTCCCCAGCCAACTTGCCGAACTACTTTCCTCAGCACCAAAACCGGCCAGGATCTCGACTCACCGGACGCTTTCGGAGGTAAAGTCAGTGTGGATGCACCACACTGCTGACGGGGATGACATACAGATTCATGTCAAAAAACCTGAACTATCCCTTTAATGTGAAATAATAATACATCGTAAATCTATGTTGATAATGTAAACAGACCAGTATTCTTTAAACATAGTCTTCAACTAATCCTCAAGTCTTCATGAAATTTAAGTGTACATAGGACTTGTATAATTCATATATTTTTAAATTAAAAGTGTGGGTAATACAATAATTTTACTGTAATTCATAAAAGCAACACTAGAGGGCAGCAAAGGTCCATTGCAGAATACACAGAGCAGGGATTTGCCTTTATTAGGGGCTGTATGTGTTTAAATCAAACCTGGACATTGTTCAGCTCCTGGGCCACTTTGTTGTTTTTAAATGACATTTTTTGTATGGCAGCCTCACTTTTTCAGTCAATCAATCAATCAATCAACAACTTTATTAATCCCAAAGGGCAATTCAGTTCACACATCTCTGGTCACGCACAATATATAAATATAAATAATAAAGAAAAAGAAAGACAGACACCAGACGATCAAACCTCAGTGCATCAGGGACCAGTGTTGGGGAGTAACAGATTACATGTACTGGAGTTATGTAATCAGAGTACAAATTATGAGTAACTGTATTCAGTTACAGTTACTGTTTCAATGAGTGGTAATTGGATTACAGTTACTTTGTTGAAATAAATGGATTACACAGAGGTATTTTCCTGTTTTCACATTTTGGGCCAAACTAGGACTAAACCCAGGACTAAACCAAGACTTAACTAGGACTAAACCAGGACCAAAACCAGGTCTAAACCAGGACTAAACCAGGACCAAAACCAGGTCTAGGACCAAAACCAGGACTAAACCAGGTCTAAACCAGGACTAAAACCAGGACTAAACTAGGACTAAAACTAGGACCAAAACCAAGACTAAATCAGGTCTAAACCAGGACTAAAAGCAGGACCAAAACAGGAATAAACCAGGTCTAAACAAGGTCTAAAGGCAGGACCAAACAGGACTAAACTAGGAGTAAAACCAGGTCTAAACAATACGACACTAACAGTAGGTTGACATAATTCAAAGCAGCAATGATCTCGTATAAAAATAATTTCTCTATCAATAATATTTCTAATATGTTTAAGGAAACACTGGACTTTTTGTTGTCGTCTTTTTACAGATAAAACATCTTCATCTTTGTTTCTCTACAACAAACAAAAGTCTGTTCAAGGAGACTTGGGCTCAGACAATTTGAAGAGAACAAACATGAATTTTCAGGATGTGGTTGGTACATTCGTGTCGTTTTAAAAAGCATCACAATATCAAGTAATCCAAAGTATTCAGATTATGTTACTCACTTTAACTAATTGAATGGATTATGTTACAAACTACATTTTGGGGTATGTAATCTGTAATCTGTAGGGGATTACATTTTAAAAGTCACCTTCCCAACACTGTCAGGGACACAGTAACAAATTCACTTTCCATTTAAAATCCTCATGGCAGAAGGAATAAAAGATTTGGCGTAGCGGTTAGTCTTTTGCTGTGGGGTGACATAGCGCCTCCCAGAGGGCATTTTCATGAACTGTGAGTGCAGAACATGGTTAGTTTGGCTCAGTTTGGCCTTAGTCTTTTGTAACACCCGATGTCTCCACACAGACGCCAAATCCTCCGTCTGAACACCACTGATTTTGCTGCAAACTTTTACAATCTGGTTCAGACTGTTCTTGTCCTTCACAGATAATCCATAAAACCAAGAGATAAAAGAAAAGGTCAGCAAACTTTCAATAAAAGAATGATCAAAATTATTTAAAATGGCAGACCACACATTAAAAGAGCTGAGCTTCTGCATCAAGTGAACCCGCTGCTGTCCTCGTTTGACGATGTGCTCAGTGTTCTTATCAAACCTTAAAGGTTGTATGGAGGATTTTTTTTAGTTTCAAACTGTCAGTGAAAGATTAAAATACCATTACAGAGACGCAGCAGCTTTGTAATTATGATGACCAAAAAAAAAAAAAATTTAAAATCTATCAACTGTGGACGTGTTGAGGCCAGATAAACATCAGCCAATAGAAACGAGGCTCCCTCATTTTCTATTGGCTGTTGAGTTGTCA